TATATAATAGATATAAACAAAACATTCTACAAGAGTTGCTTGTTCTTCTTACCTGTATTACWCGCACTACTGATGTCCTCTCAAACAGGTCTTTCTAAACAGTTTYTGCTTTTGGCGGCGTTACAAATGCATTGTCCCTTTATTAGTCGACCTTCAGTTTTAAGCGCCATCTTGAAAAGTAACCAAGGCAACCATCATCTTGTTGAGTGATCGAACCGTAACCATCCATTTGTACCAGGCGTTTCTTGCTAGTCCTTGATATTTTTGAGTTGAAAAGAAAAAATCTCTTGAGAAAAACAAACAAAGTAGCAACAGAAAAGAAAAAGAAAAGAAAAAAAAACAAAAACAAGAAACAAGCCAAAAAGAAACAAGTAAAAAAGAGAAATTCCAGAAGCAGGACTCGAACTCAGGACTTTCACTTCAGCAGAAGATGTAACCCCCCCTGACATACATAAGAAATRATGAAAATAAAAAACTAAAAARATGGGACGATTCCCCCGAGACATTCTATGAAGCTGAGGCGGCGAATCGGCTTACGTTACGGTTAGAGATTTCGGCTCTTCCACGCTATCCCGAGTGAACATAAAACTTAGTCTTAACCAAAAGGCCAGGGAGTGAGGGGGTAGCCGCCCACTAGAGCATACCTCTAGCTACCCTCTTAGACCATCGTACTATGAAGACACTTAAGATATTTAATATCTAATTGGGATAGTCTATTCGGTGAAGTTCTATGCTAATATATGACGTCACCAAAATCCTTAGGGAGCAGCCAGCCAATCAGAGCTCAGCACAGGAATTTGCAAACGATACAGGATTTGCATTATCATTCTTCAGTGGGATTTATTATTTGAGAGGGGGTGGGGATGGGTGCCGAGTGCTGGTTTGCGGCGGAATACCGATGTACTCGATTTCATCGAGTTGTTCAATTGTTGTTATTGTTTTCCAAATCATCACAGGAAAAGGTGTACAGTTCTTATATTCGACAGACATTACTAGACCTTTCTAGTCGGATAAACACCACAGTAAAAATCTCTTGAAATTCCGCTTAACGTAAGTGGTTCACAGACCAGGCAGATACTAGCTGTTGCCAAAGATTTGCTACTGGGCCTTCAATGGAACACAATTGAAGACTTTGAACTCCAACATTACACTCGAACTTTACAAATTTTCGTTCTTGGTGATATAAAAGTTTACAAATGGATTAATATTGATTATCAAAACATTATAAAATCTATAGTGAATGTTAACAATTGAAGAGGATGAATGACAATCCCTATGTAATTGATAAAGAAACATTGAAAAATTTAGCGATCTTTGGGGTTTTATTGCAAAACTATAATCAGAACTCCATGCGGATAATGCATTGTGGGTCTGATTTTTCATGGTTTCAGAGCAAGGCTTCGGTTTCAGACCAGCTTCGTGTTGTGGTAGATTTAGAATTGCCATTTCGCAGCGCAGCAAACTCGAAGTTTACTAAATCTCTTATAATGGCCTGAGTCACATGCAGTCCTTGATTGCCTTTTTTTTGTTTAATAACCCGATTTTACAAGGAAATATTTAGAGCCCATTTAGCACTGTCTCAGACGCCAAAGGAATGAGACGCCCGAGTTATCAACTCGTGGAGGGCATCTCGGAGTGGGAGCTGGGCACGAGCCAGAAAAACGCATCGCCATCCAATACAACATGGCGGATGATGAAGTCTGCCCGACTTCAACAAACTTTATACATCCTAGAATCATCTTTATCCGCCTAGGAAAGGACAGAACTAAAGATGCTATACAGAATAAAATCTTCAAGGGTGTAAGGAAGGCTTTAAAAGACTTGAGCAACGTGGAAGGGGCTTCAAAGCCTGACAAAAATGTTTTAGTTTTGTCATCTGTGCTCTCTCGTGGCGTGCTAGATATTGCAATTGGAGAGCAGTATGTCGGCTTACTTTTAAAAGATGGCCGTGTTTGTAGGTTCAAATGTGTTTGTAAGAACTTTACGCCATCTACAAAGGGGAAAAACACAGCTGTTTCGGACGAACCGATCTTTCAGGTTCAAAGCGACGAAGCATACGCGAAGAGACTCCACGAACAGCTAAACTCTAGTGGCCTTACTGGTAATACCAGCAGTCTGAATGAGTTTAATGGCTTGGGRGARTCATCTTTTGGCTTGGCACAGCAGCCATTTAGATTTGGAAGCCTARCAAGCGAGTCTGAAGTKCCCACAGATTCAATTTTGAACTTCRCTGATTCAAATTTTGAAAGCATCATTCCTAATGAAACAMMTCGGCATGTTGAGGATCAAAGCTCTGTAGATCAAACACAACCTACAAACTCTGATATTTCTAGTGATATACCCAAGGTGTCTAATCAAGAAAGTTCCTCGAGTAAAGCTTCAAATCTACCTTCATCTAGCTCAAGTGCATCCGAAAAYTCAAAAGATACTTTATCAAAAACATCAACTGATGTGAACAAACCTGCTGGTAATTTACCAGGAAATTCAAAGTCAGATACTAGCTTACCTTCTAGTAATTCCASCGCCGGTAACATTAACTGGAGAGCTGATAACGAACCACAGAATCATATCAGTGTAACRAACGTACTAAGTACAAGATCTCAATCATCAGGTTACTTATCAAGAAGGCCTCCCCCATCTCCCACAGTTGTGCACCGGACCATTTTAACTGCCGATCACCCTATYGTAATCAGACCTTCACGCCCCTATTTTGTYTCGCCCCATATTTTGATACCATCATTTTCCCAAGTTTCTTCGACACCTGGGGTTTATATTGACGCCAGACGGCTAGCAAGTAACTTGGCTCAAAGAAATCAAGTTCGTATCATGCCGAGGTCTGGACGGAGGCACCTTAGTAGTCCGTATTCAACCCGTAGGAATCAGGAAGCTGCAAGCTCGAGGAGAGAAATGAGAAACAGCACAGAACAGCAAGCGACAGAAGAGACTAATAGCGATTTTAACTATCCTGAAGCTGGTGATATTGAATGGCTACAGACAGAAACTGTGAGTATCAATGTACTTAAAAAATCAATAATTAATTAATGATAAATTAATGATTATAATATGTAAGTTTATTGACTGAGTGGGGGGCTGTAGAAAGAATAAATATTTTGGCTAGTGGTTATGCAGAGACATAAGTTATGCAAAGACATAACACAGCGTGAATGATTCAATCTAGTTAGTTATTAACAGAGTATCAATAGACCTAATCGGCTAATGTGTTGCCATGTACATTACCACCCAATTCAAATCCTCTGGGAAATAGAACTTTTGTTGTTTTAGTTCTTAAAAGAACTTCAACTGTGAACTGAAAATACATCAAACAATGAAACTTACTCCCGGGTGGTTTGAATTGGGCGGAAAGGCATTAGCCGATTGGGTCTATATGTGCTTAAAATATTAATGATTAATTAATGATAAATTAATAATTATAATGTGTGCTTATTGACTTACTGGGGGCGCTGTAGAAAGAATAAATATTTTTATTTAAATATTTTAATCATATGAGGAAGTGGCTGATCCCATTAAAGATCATAAATACTGTCTGATGCGTGCGTAGCACGAAACTCGGAGTCACAGCAAATCTTGCCTCTTTGATATTATATTATATTAGTTTGCTGAAGAAGGCCGAAGTGCCGAAACGTTCATTAAAAAGTAGAAAACCTAGTTACAAGTTGCGTGGCTTTTTCTTCATTTATTCTATTTATAAATATTTTTATAAGTAGAATGAAATAGAACAAAACACCAACTTGAAGCTATAATAACTCTGTTTATTGGACGTTTCGGCACTTCGGCCTTCTTCAGCAAACTGAGTGTTTTGCACTCGCCACTCTCTATAAATCCTAGCAACTAAGTGACCAACAAACACAAACAACAAAGAAACTACTTTAAGTAATTACTTTTAAGTAATGGTGTTTGCAACGAACAACAGAAGATTTCAACTGGCCATGGGTTCCGGGTATTTTTGTGACTTGTAATAATCTAGTTTCATTTTCTTTTTCTTTGTATATAAATATTTTTATTATATTAAGTTGTTTCAACCTTCAGGGCGAAGAAATCAAATTTTCACACATTGTGGCATTRCATACTGAGTTCATCTTGGTCGAAAAAGAAACTGGACGTCTCTATCACTGGCCATACCATTCCGATGCTACCAATCCAATTGCTATGGAAACTGACATCCCTGATGCCGACTTCACTGATACTTCATGCTCGGACACACCCAAAGCAAGGGTATCACCCTTGTTAAGTGAATTAGAACTGCATGGAGAGCAAGTTGTGATCATCGCTGCTCAAGGGATTCGATGCACTCTTGTCACAAAAAGTGGAAAAATCTGTACATTTTATGACAACTTTTTCCGAGGTGAGAAAATGAATTCATGAATGAATAATTAAAATATGAGATTCATCTTGATGTACATGTATATGAATAATTTTTGGGGGAAGCAAGATAAAAATTTGCTGTAGTGGATTGCACGTAATCCAATGAAAGAAATATCAGGGATTTAGTTAGAAGTCAGCAACGGGATTACTCTGGCTTCTCTTTTTAAGTTTCACAGATTAAGTGTTTTGGCTTAATGTTCATGCTATTCTTGTATTGTTTCCCACACCATGTTTATGTCCAAACAAACAAAACATGTCTAGCTCCTAGTATTTCTATATTATATTATATTTTCTGTGTTTTTATACTACAAAGTCGTGATAAGAAGCAAGAAAAATGTATTCTCTGAGCTTGGTTTTTATCTTTTTCGCATAGAGTKTACTGTGCAGTGTATCTGGCATGATATTTACATCATCGGAAAGAGAAAATAAAAGAAGAAATATACCATGTTATAAACATGGTGGAAGATGAAGAGCGCAAGGAAACGATCTTAGAAACAGAAGTGTTTGTCTTGCTTTTCAAGTGCTCTCTGTCTCCCACTATGTTAATTTCTAGTAGCATAGACACAAAGTGTCTCTYTTGTATTTATAAATAAAATTATCCTGAGTTCTTAAGCACATAATCAGCTCTTATGTAAACATGGTCTTGAGTCAATGAGTTTTTTTGTGTTATTTTTATGGTAGAAAATAACAAAGGAATGGTTCCTGCGCTAATACAGCAGCTCTCCCATCCAGCTGTTCATTTTCCTGAGCTTCAAGGTGAAACCATCACAGCTGTTGATTGTAGTGAGTTCTTTTCCAGTGTAATGACACACAAAGGAAAGATTTATTGGTGGTAAGTTCTGCTTGGATTTTTTCTGCAATTTATCTTAGTACATTCATCATTTTGCCTAATTTGTGTCCATGCAGTATACTCAA